CATCTTTACAAATTCAGTCGCACAGTAGTAAGAGGTAGGCTTCTGGCGTGAATACAAAACTTCGTACTCGGCCAGTCTCAAACTGTCCATGTCAGTGTCGAGCAGTCAACAAAGGTTGCAGTTGAGAGTATGGCTCCGTTCTTGGTCCCACTTGGTTCATGAATTGTGATATTGCCATGTTTGACGATTATATCAAACTTTGGAATATCATTGGAAATACGGCTTACGAAGAAAATTTGCAACCAAACCTTAATCGACTCCAAAAAATTGTCGAAGAACTGGCTGTTGCCGTTCAATGAAAGCAAGTGCAATATTATGCGAGTCGGCAAAACCACTTATCCTAACCCAACGGTTTGCCGACCGAATGACATACCATTGCAAGAAGTATACGCCCAGAAGGACTTGGGAGTTTGGATCACGCCCTCGCTTACTCCCCCCCCCCTGCGATGTCGGTTCTGTACCTCGTCAAAGGTGCTTTCTCTGCCTTTGAGGACTACTGCTTCATCAAAGTTTTAGGAACCTTGATGCGGCCGCCACTGGAGTCCGCTATCCAAAGTTGGAGAAGGGCTTCAACCTCCTTAAAAAGGTCCAAATGCGTGCAACCAAACTTGTCATTGGACAAGGCTTACTACGCCATGAAACACCTAGGTCTAATATCGATCTCTTTCTTTTGAGTTACGGACAGCTACGGGAGACCGGATACTAACATTCCACATGTTACGTTCTCAAGACTGCTGTATCGTATCAGTGGATTTGACGACTGTTTTGCTAAAGTCTTTTGAATCTCCGCTTGACCACAAGTGTAGTCCACTCTCCAAGCTTGTAGATCCTGGGTCGCCAAAGAACTGAACGTCCTCGAGAAGGTCCAAGCAAACTTGTCATTGGAAAATGCTCACTACGCCATGAAACACCTAGGTGAATCCCTTTCTCTTGAGCTACAAACAGCTACGGGGGACCTGACACTGACATTCCGCATATTACGTGTTCAAGACTGCTATATTGTATCAGAAGATCTCTTTGGGTTAGCATCAAAAACGAACTTGAGATGTCATCCTTTCAAACTACGGGTGACCAGAGTCAGGCCAGACACTCGAAGTTTATTTTTCGCTGACAGAGTGGTTGAAGCCTGGAATTCTCTGCCTCTATAGGGTTGTTGTTTTGGAAAACTAAGAGGTTTATAGGCAGAAGCTGGACCGATGTAGTAGTCCACTATGCAGTACCACCTGATCGTACTTAACAGACTACTAGCTATATTTGAGTAGTGCTTATATCCATAATCGTATATTAATGTGTGTGTAGTATGACCATCGGTTTTGATGAAGTCCACCATTTGCTCAAGAGCAGAGACGGTAATGGAGCTAAGTACGAGATTATAGTGAAATAGACGCGCAACTGTCTACCTCACTCTAACACTCCACCGCATAAATCGGTGACAAGACCGAAGTCGAAATATCCGTAGCCGGCAAAGGGTGGAAGCTGTTTTCTCCAATGCAAGCCGAAAAACCGCCTAACTAGCCTCTAGTGACAGTAGACTTTGTGCGGA